TTTAAATTTACTCATGCTTATAATAAAGTTATGATGTAAATTAAATATGGCCAGCCGGCCACATTTTTCAAAAAAGAGGTCGGGCCACGGCCCGACGTCAGCATGGACTTCGGCGCCACTGCTTTTAATCTAGATTAATATTTCAAAGTAGACAGTCATATGGATTTAATATTATAATAAATAATTTAAATACAGTTTAATATTAATTAATACATGATAATTAAATGGTTATTGTTAATAATTATATTAGGTGATTTATACTGAAAATACCAACACTTATTTTTAGCTATAATATATTTATGTAAAATTCATTAATGAACACCCAATGCTAAAATTGTTTATTAATTATTAATAGAATGTCAGCATACTATTTGTTTCATCTCTCTGACCCATACATAACATGGTAAAATTGCATTTGGTGGAACCAATTTTGTGTTGTTAGTTTTAGTATTATAGTGAATTGACTAATCATTATATGTACTTCAAAGTTAACTGTTTACAATATTTCAATTTTAAAGTGAGTTATGATCATTCTTAAATTATAATATTTCAAATACTGAGAACTTGGGTTAAAATTTTGTAAAATATTTGCCAATTTAGAAACAAAGATAATGTTCTGAAAATCTGAACTTCAAGTTTGATGGATCAATCAATTTTCTCCAATACTAAATCTAACAACCAATAGTAGCCTGGTTCTGCTGAACATAAATTTTCTATGTTGGGTAAGTTTCAGAGTAAAAAAACAAATACTATACTGACATTCTCTTAATTATGCACATTGTATATATAATTGATAAATTTTAAAACGTTTAAAAGCATTACACACATGGTGTTAAACATTAGTTCAATCAACTCGCTACTTTTAAATAGTTAATTTTTGTACAACACTATAAACTAGTTATTAAATAGTTTTAAGTTTCATATATTAAAAAAATTGTATTTACCTTAAAAGGGAATATATTGAATCTGTTTTATTATGCTGTCCTCTAAAAAAATAAAGCAGTAGTGTAATCGATGACCCAAAAATAAACAAATCACCATAAGGAATCGGTTTTATAATGCCTCTATTAACCATCATATTATAGAATGTTTCTGAGGCCTTAAAATAGAATATTACTTTTATATACATTTGAATTCAACTAAATTATTATAATTTTAATACACACTATTGTGTGATTAACTTGGGTATTAAACAAGTTATTAAAATGACTTACAACATTTGTTACATAGAGACTTAATAATCCTCGTCTGGATGGCCTTTCAATTAATATAGCAACTAGACTGGATAGAAAACATGGAAGAATTGCTACAGTTAGCACATTGAATTTCCCAAATAATCTCCTGGAATTATATAATAATACTATTAACTATGGCTGGTGGTATTGAAAATAATTTTCGGTATTACCATATTGATTTAAATACCGGTTTGAAACAGTATACCGAAAAAAAAACTGTTTCGGTATACCGATATGGTACGGTATACCGAAATAATAAATAAAATCTAACTAGTATCGATATTTATTACTTTAATATTGTTTCACATTATATACCTACTTTATTATATACTATAATATATAATATAATTATCTATATTGTTGCCATTGATACTAGAAAATTTAGACGGTTTTTTAAGGTAAACCGTTTACCAAAATAATTTTATAATACCGGTATACCGAAAATACCGTCAGCCCTACTATTAACAGACAATAAACATTAAATACTACTTCTTATATATTTTATTTGAGACAACCAATAAATATTTTGATAAAAAAAAATTGAATACCTATAGATTTCAGTGGATTAAAATACAGCTAGACTGACAGGAATGTCAGGTAATCATTAAATTGACCTGACAGCTGTAAAATCTCCAAGGCTCCAAAAATGTAATTACTCATACAAAATATCAAGTACAATATTATACAAAGTATTTTACATATTATGATCATCATTCATCATATTACTCGTCAAATGAGCTGTCACACAATTATATAGCTTCTGAGAGTACCTTAATAAGCACACAGCAGATGAAAAACCGAATGCATGGCACGACAGGAAAGCAGTTGACTGTAAAATACTCAACAGGGTTCGTTTGAGTTCCTTCTTGGTCGGCTTTCGACCTTTCATCAGTAAAGTCAACTGCCAATTAAAATAAAGAAATTACACATGAGTAGTTTAAAAATTAATACAATAGACAATTCAATATAATACCATATAAGTGGTAACATAAATTCGAAACGAAGCTTGGATCGAATGAATGAGTAGACCGGCACTTGCGTCGCAACATGAAGACACCCACGGGTGCATGAATTCATGACAAGATGTATCTATTGTTTTTAATATTTTACTAGCCACCACCATGTTATATTAAGGCACAAAATACCAATTATAATAATATGATCTTGTATGTTTGGAAAACACAGTGTCAACAAAGATTCAAACTGTCTTACAACAACTTGCAACAATACCTATATTATATTTGATTATATATTTAAATGAAAAATATTTGTAAAAATTTAGTTAAAAACAACCTATAATATACTTAACAATTACTCACTAGTAATCACAATATCAATATTAGTTGAAATGTATAATAACGATTTCATTACTATTAAATGTCGAATACACAGAATAGTGAATACTGAATACTGATCGACTAATCTTTGACCTGGACGTTTTCTATAATTCTATAGTTCTATATGCCGTTGTGATTTGTAAATTGTAATTGTGAATTCTGAATTTCCTATAGTTATTAGTTTCTAACTTTCACGAATTCTTATCTCCGTACCTCTTATCTATGGCGTACATGATAATATTTTGATAACGGTTATAACCACGCACGATTGCCCGAGGACAACACGATTATGAAGTATAATATAATGACGAAATCGGAAATAACATTCGTCATGTATAATATAATCTAATAGCGTTTTCCACCACACGACACCACACGGGAACGTATCAGTTTCCCGAAAATAATTGAACCGAACGTTAGTAATCCATAAATTAAATTTAACAGAAAAATATAGTGATAGAAAATAAAATGACAGAAAGAAAAGTTACAGAAAACAAAACACATGGAAATTAATGTTCCAGAATTGTTTTCATATTGAAAATAAAATGAACATAAAATATGTATACAGAATTTTTATCCCAGAAAGTTAAAAACCTGAAATTATAATCACAGAACGTAGTTATACAGAAAGTGATAACGTCGACCATAATTTTCCAGAAAATTAAATTCCATAAAGTTTAAAGCCTGAAATTATAATCACAGAACGTTGTATTACAGAAAGTGATACTGTAGACCATAATTTCCCAGAAAATTAAATATCAGAATTTAGAAAGTTAAAATTTTGAAATTTCGTATAGGTACCTATATATTATTTACGTATATTTACGTATATTTACGCATAGGCTATATTTTGTGGATACACATAGGTGCAACTATGAGGAGGGGCTTTAAAACATTTCAATAGCCCCCCCCCCCAATATTACCTAACAGTTTTTTAAACTTCTTCAATATTATTATAGTAGGGTTTCATTTGCCCTCAAATTTCAAACGTTATTTGTGTCTACGCCTTTATAGCTATATCAAACCCTTTAATAATGCTTGTTGTCATCAATCATCATTTTGGAAACTACATTTTGTTCCACATTTTTTTTCCAAGTCAACTTATTCCATTGATATTAATTTCCAAGTTTTACCTTTGTTCCTATTTACATTCGACGAAAGACATTTGTTTCAATTGACATCCATTCAATTATATATCTTCTTACATATATCTTTGTTCCGATGAACGTTTGTTGTTCCATAATTTATTTGTTCCACAGGATTTATTAATTTATTAAACAAAACATTTGGAACAAATGTTCATTTGCATACCTATTATAATGGTCTTGGAGTAAAGATTAATCAGAAAATAAATGCCCGGAAAAACATTTGAACTGCATTTTTTATTTATTCATAAACCCCACACTTTAAACTTGTACATTATAAGGTATTAAGATTTAAAGGTATTAATATGGTATATTGGTATATTATGCTTATAGCAACTAGCAAGGTAATCTCAAGGGGAAGACCTCCTAGTAAGTAGCCCCTCACTCCACAAAAAAAAAAACAAATAACAAAACATTATTTATGTACTAATATATACTACACAATATTTAACTATGTTTCTTATTCTTTTTTTTGTAATTCTAATTATATACAGACATTATACATTTTTTATTGACTTATTATTGTTATTCATTGGACTATTTTACACACATTTTTAACGAAAGTAAATATCTTGGCAACTCTTGTAAATTCAAATACTCAAAGACGAAAAAAATAAGAAGAATACCTATTTTAAACAGGCGTTTCTCAATAACGTCATCATAGGTGGTACGCGGAAAAAATATCACATTATAAAAAAAAAATTGAATTGATCATTATTCACATTAGATATAACTTATATTCTTTTGCATATTTTTTTTGAGGCTATGCAGTCAGACGGGGGTTCGAAATCTTTACGAATCATGAAACCGGTGTATTAATGGCAAAAGTTTTTTTTGCATATTTGAGAATATTTTAAGATAAAAGAATATTTAGTGTAATAAAGAATATTAGAGAATATATCGATGAATTTATATAGTTGTTCGATATTTTGGTTGCAGGGACGTAAATAATATAAATTATAGTATGTCCGATAATATTGATATGATATTGAAAATATACTATACATGTATATACCATCGTCCATCGTATTTACGATTGTTATACCCTACTACGTAGTAATATACTGCAATAGTGCATAAGATAAGTGACTTATCTAAGATAACAATGCCGACAAAAAATGGAATTACTACACAAAAATAGCTAGCTCCAAGCGTTAGAGGTACAGGTACGGTACCGTGTACAACAGTGCAGTGTCGCGTGTCGTGTAGTATTGACATAAGTACAGAGTACCTAGTTAAAATTACTGTGGCCCTTGGGCGGTAATGATGAAAAAGTTTTGTTGATGCTCTCAGATGCTGCGCCGTACATGGTGAAAACGGGACAGTCACTAGCAGTTTTTTATCCCAATTTAATTCATGTAACATGTGTAGCTCACATGTTCAATAGGATTGCAGAAAGAGTTAGAGAAATGTATCCAGACGTAAATAAATTAATTAGTAATATAAAAAAAGTATTTCTAAAATCTCCATATCATGTACAAGTGTATAAAGAAATATTACCAGATACTCCGTTACCCCCTGAACCAGTACTAACCAGATGGGGAACGTGGTTGGAAGCTGCTATATTTAATTGTGATAATTTCCCAGGTTTAAAAAAAGTTATTGAAGAATTAAGTGGTCAAAACTCTCCCAGTCAGTCTATACTTAAATGTAAAACAGTTTTTGACTTAGAAACCGTAGAAAACGATTTAATATTTATTAAAACCCATTTTCTTGTGCTGGTAACATCCATTAAAAGGTGGGCAAGTGGGTGTCGCTCTGCTGTACAGTAGGTTACAAGTGGGTCACTGTATAATGGATGGTATTAAATTTGAATTCAATGATATAATATCATTGTATAAGAAAAACGATTCTGAGCGGTGATGGTATGTCAGTCTATGTATAAGGCATATTATATACATATCTATGGTATTAAACAAAAAATTGACCTATAATAGGTACCTATAATAAATTCCAAATTAATCATATCACAATATCCATTAGATACTTATAACGCGTTATACATCAACAAAAACCGTGATACTATCATAGATATATAATAGTACACTTTAGAAGTTTCAAGTACCCACGAATAGTATTATTCAATCACAACAAAATAACTAAAATCGTAATTCTTGGTTTAAATATGAAATTTTGTCTAAATTTGAAATTAAAATGTCTGTAAAAAATAAGTGTGTTTATATATTTTTTAGATTTTTTGGTTACAGTATGAATTATTTAAGAGAATCTTTGTTTTAAATTTTCAACTCTTACTTATAAAAACTGAACATTTTATAATTTTTTAATTCCAACGATTGATAATTTTCGAGATTTTGATAAATTTTGTCAAAATTCCAACTTTAAATGCTTATAAAAAAAAATCGTGCCTATGTATTTTTAATATTTTTCAACTTATATTGTAACAATATATCAGGAGCCTTGTATTAAATTTTTACACTTTTTGGCCCAACAGATAAAACTTTATTGATATTTATAGAAAAAAAAACTAAAAAAAATTGAAAGCTGTAAATGTCCATAAACAGCTTAAAAAGAGTCAAAATATTTTCAAAATTGTATGGTGTATAGGAAATGCTAATATAAACATTCAGTGAAATTTTCATGTATCTACAGTTATTCGTTTTTGAATTACAACAAAATAAGGAAATCGCTACATGAGAAATCGAGTGAAAATCCAATGTTGTAAAAATTTGAATTTCAAACGCTCATAAAAATTTAATTTGACTGTCCGGTAGAGATTTTTTTATTGATAAAGGTAGATAATCTTATAAGGAATCTTGTGTTTCATTTTCAAATCTTAGATTTAAAAAGAAAAAATTTTACGAATTCTTAACTCAAAATAATTTGCTAATTTTCGTGATTTTTCCATATTTTGTCAATTTTTGAACTTTAAATGCTTATAAAAAAAAATTGTGACTAAGGATTTTTAATATTTTTCATCTGCCTTTGAAACAACATATTAGGAGCCTTCTATTAAATTTTCAAGCTTTCGCAACCAACAAATAAAATTTTATTGATATTTCTAGAAAAAAAACTAAAAAAAAATGAAAAATGAAAATGTCCCTAAACAGTTCAAAATAAATCAAAATATTTTGAAAATGTTATCGTGTATAGAAAATGCAAATATAAACAACCAGTGAAAATTTCATGTATCTACGGTCATTTGTTTTAAAGTTACACCAAAAACCAAATTCGATTTTTTGGAAAATCGATTTTGCGTAAAAATTCCCGTTTTTCCTTAATTTTTATGTTGTTTTTCCCGGCGCTTGTGAAAACTACTGGAAAATGTTTACTTTTGACCCCCCAAAGTACCAACTAGATTCACTTTCCTATCAGAAAAGGTACTATTGAAGAAAATCGAAGCACTTTTACTGTCCCAAAACGTGATGACAGACACAAAAATATAAATAAAATATAAATAAAAATATAAAAATATAAAAACATACATCATTGTAAAACCAATACATTCATCGCTCCGCTCAGAATCTAAAAGTCTAATGTGTCTCTTGTTGATTCTATAAATCTGATTGAAAATATAATTGGTAAACTTCAAAAAATACCTGGAGAAAATGGAAATAAAATAAAAATTAAAATTGATCAACTTCAACAAAAAAATCAAGGGCTCATCATTTTAAAAAACGTAGCTAAAGTTTTAAATGGGAATAATGAAGTACAACTTATAGATAATTGTTCACCGGCTATGATAACTGATTTGCAATATGCTCCTGTAACTTCAGTTGACGTCGAACGTACTTTTAGTACATATAAAAACATTTTGACCGACCGTCGCACAAGTATGACACCGGAGCACATGGAACAAAATATAGTTATCAACTGTTTCCAAAAATATTCTTAGTTAAAAATTTAAAATAATAAGTATTTTGCATATTATGTACCTTGTATATATTTATATCAGTTTTTTTTATTATTTGCTTATATTTTTTGCATATTGAGAATATATTAATAAAAAAGCATATTTTTGGCATATTTTATTATGATTTTTAAAGAATATTGGAAGAATATTTTCAACTTTTTAAGAGAATATTAGCATCTTATTTTGGCTATTTTAAAAGAATATAATTCCGGGCTCTAGATATAACCTATTATTATTTACCATTTGATTTATTTGAGATTAGCAGGTTTTTTTAAATGAATGGCGGACAATTTTCCCCCCGACTGTTTTTGGCGTAGTAGGACATTTCCCCCATTTTTTTTTTTAAGTTTATTATTTATTATCTAATAAGAAATTATTTTTTTTCAGTAAAATATAATTTTTTTTTATAAATATAATCAACTAGCCGACCCGTCACAGCTTCGCCCGTGATTAGTTGTTTATTTTGCCATTGGACGATGATATGTATAATTTTTTATTCAAATTTTATCGCTTAATGTGATCGGCAAGTAAATATAAAAAAACTTTTAATGAAAGCGTATTGAAATGTTTCTAGCGGTATTAATGATAAATATATTTTTATTACAAAAAAACCGATCACGTGCATATCGTTGCTCGTTAAATGGACCAACTCTATATGACTCAAACTTTGTGCAGTTCGTTATTTAATATTCGATGTATAGTGTTCAAAACTTATCTTAACTTTTCCGTTGTGCCCAGAATAAAAATTCTGATTCTCAGCTGTACCTAGCGGTAGATCGCTGACCCCGTGCTGTTTGTACGTAAGTGTATGATTTAGCCGCCGGTTGTCGTTTACGCATCACTATTGTTATTTTTGACCTTTTTTGTAAGACAGTTGCGCATCGTTTCATTTTTGGGTTATAAATCGTTTGCGCATCGATCGTTTAAAAGCTTATAAATCATTTGCGCATCAATATTTTCTAATAATAGAACTGAAAAAAAGGTGTATACCCAAAAGCGCGTTGTTTTCTAACTTTAATCATAAAATTCAATCCTAAATGAACTGAACACAATTTAGTTGAATTCATTTTTACTCAAACTACCTATATGTTATATGAATATTTTTTACTATAACTAAGACCATGTAACGTGCCTAATTGAACTGAGTGTTAAATTTTTTACTACAAAATAATTTGCAAATTTTTGAGCTTTCGATAAATTTTGTCAACATTTGAACTTTAAATGCTTATTGAACAAAAACTTGTGCCTATGTACATTGAATTATTCATTATCTATATAATATTATATGTGTGTACAATTATTATTATACCTTTCTATTGTTAAGAATTTTGATTATTTTAATTTTAATTATTTTAATAACAGTATTATATAATATACTAGCTGATCCCGTGCACTTCGTCGCATAGGCGTGCGCACGGGGGCAGCAGAGGCAGCATTTGCTGCCCCTGGACTTTCTTTGGGGTCACCGGGGCCGGCAAATATTAAATAATGGGCCTCGGTAAAATTATATTTCCACAAATTTTTTTTTTGTTTTGATAAACTATAGATAAATATTTTATATAGGCTTGTAGAAAAGTACACCTTTAGTGGCTTAGTACCTTACTGTACAACCTTTTATCCAAAAAAAACAAATAACCAATACAATTTTAATTTTGATATTCAATAGTAAAAAAGATAAAACTATGAGCTGGTTTTAATGGTGAATTTGAAAAATGGGCCGAATTAATCTCTTGCTGCCCCTGAAACCAGAGGCTGCGCACGCCTATGCTTCGTCGCCCGTTAAATGTACCAACTCTATATGACTCAAACTTTGTTCAATTCGTTATTTAAAATTTGTTGTATGGTGTTCAAAATGTATCTTACCTATTCTGTTGCCTGGAATAAAAATTCTGATTCGCAGCAGTATATATCAGGTGGCGTGGGCAATCTACCTGCGGTAGATCACAGACCTAGCTGTGTTTGTACGTATAAGTGTATGATTTAACTCTAAAGTATCAAAGTTATACCAAGTTTATTTTGATATAATACGGTGGATTAATATAACAAATTTGGTTGCCCGTAAAAAATCGCAACTCTTAAAAAATGTATGATTGTTCAAATCCTTTTGGGTGTAACTTGCTGCGGTAAGTGCAACTCAGCCACCCTGGTAGGCAATGTTCAATAATTCGATTTGATGTAAGCTTGTACCCGATCTGCCCGAATAACCAATGGCAATAAATAATAAATAAATGCTAATTTCTACTGTAGACTGTAACCAGTGGCAACTATTAATAAATAAAAATAAAATTTCCAATTTCCATCGTGAATCTCAATGTCCCTGTTTGAGCACCTATTTAAAATGCGAATTTTGGCAAATCCTTTCTTATTGCACGGTGAAAATATGAGAAGAACCTCTATTCCAAATTTCAAGTCCGTACGTTGAGTAGTTTTTGAGATACAGCGATCAGTGAGTCAGTGGTATTTGGATTTTATAATATGTATAGATAACTAATTATTGACTAACATTATCGGACTTTATTTATGCCTAAAACCTGCTCCGTGATATCCGCTTTCATTAAAAAAAACTACATGACAATTGGATAAGAAGTTTCGAAGCCAAACCGTAACAAAGATTTCCTCATTTGCTTGATTTCAGTTTTATATATATCTATATATATGTCGTAGGCCGTATGGAAAATTAGATTTTTTGCAAAAAGACTAGGCTCTTTGCAATGGGGTAGCCCGTTTGCGAATTACTTATTATTTTTCCAAACAGCCTGCTGTTTTTAAGGCTCATTGCATACAGACTAACAGCAGTTAGGCCTTTTAAGAATTACAATCATAATAACAATAAATATTATATGGTAATTTATTACTGATTATACTTATTACATAATTTAAATTATATTATTTTAAGGGTTA